GGGCTTGCCCCCAAAAATAAATAATTTGAAGCTTAAGCCCTCTTAAAAAGCATGCTACCAAACATTAAAGCCCCCTCAATATTTCACAGGATCTCCTATGGGTACCTAGATAGTCTATATCATTTAACACTACCTATATTATGTATAATGTAGTTCTCTTTAAACTGTAGGTATTTTATTTCATAAAAAGCCAGGGCTTAGTGGTAAAAATTCCATGGGTGACTACAATGTGTCCATAAAGTTTTAAACATTCCATAATATATAATGTTATGTATAATGTCTAATGCATATAGTATATGACATATGTAGTGTATAAACAGTCCCACTTTTAACCCTGAATAATGTTCAAATTTGTAATTTATTTCATGTAAAATAGAAATTACAAATAATACTCCATGACTACTTATAAATGTACATGACTTATATATAAATAATACTTTGGAAAAGAATATTTTTTTCAGTAATAATTCACAATAGTAATGATATTAAGTTGTAATTAGTGGTTGTGTTTTAACTGTTTTAAGAGAGCTAAAGAAATCACCCAGAAAAAAAAAATATTTATTTCATAAAAATGTAGTGTTTTTAGTGCTTTAATGAGTATAAATTGTACAAAAATTCTAATTCTACACATGGTATGGTAAGCATACTTGAAAAATCACATATTCAAACTTTACCGATATCGGATATATATATTATAATATTATATATTAATATATGAATCTGAATTTTACATTAATTTATAAACAGCTATTTTACAGTGAAAGAATTATAAATACTTAAATAGGAACCATATTACATAATATAATGTTATATTATATGTTATCGGCTAATTGAACACCTATTAATCACAGTATATTTAATCACAGCCATTAAACAATAACTATTCAAATCAATTATTTTTACATATATATTAGGTCCTTAATAGTATTAAATAAAGTAATAAATGTAAAGTTATAAACCAAGATTTAATCTGGAATTCTGAATGTTTGGTTATAATTATAGGATTCTTGCATACCTTACAAATAATTTGTCAACGGGGACATTTTTCTAACCGGTACTGTGACTGAGACCCCCCCCCCCCCCCTATTTTAATCCTTGTAGATACCTTGGACTTAAGCAACTATTAATTTCTTTTTTTAATAAGTTTTCTTAATACCACAACTGTCAATAATACATTAATTTAATAACAAAATAATACTTATACAGCCATTATAATATGATGATACATTTTTTTTTTAATTTACAGTTATTATAAATGTGCCAAGTCAAACAATGTTTGTTGCCCTGGTACAGCGAAAAAAAATGTGGATGGTTCAATTGTGGAAATTAAACCCCACCTACCCACGCATATAAGATCCATGAATGAAAATGGTAATCTGATGAAGATATTCAAAAATATATTAAAGAATAGAGCTAAAAATGAAAATGTATCATTGAAATCCATATACGATGAAGAATCGCGAAGGTAATATTATATAAAATTGAAAAACATTTTTATCTTTCTATTCATTGGCAATATTTTAAAATAATATGGAAATAATAACCTGAAGGGCCGCATGTAACACACTTATCAATTACGGTAATTGATATCAGATGTACTATCAGTATTAATATTACGTCCAATCAGGCGTCAGGACGTGAAAATACATAGTTTCAAGTCGGACGTAAAAATAGCCACTACGTATTATTAACCATTAATATGCAGCGATTCTGATTTAATATTTTTTTTAAATCTTATATACTTTTTGATTTGAAACAAAAATTTCTTGTAAGTCCTTAAAATATTGATTTTGTAATTAATTTTGTTATCGTTTACAGTTAACAGTCGTGTAAATGACCAAGATGAAATAATGGCTGATACCCGTAATGGTAATGATACAGAAAATATGATGTCTACAGTTGGACGCCTATATTGTATTGGAAAAATATCATGTGGAACAGACATTTTACGGAATGTTAATGTAAGAAAGTCATTAATTTGAATGATTTGTACATGAAAATAACAAAGTTTAATTTTGTAATATATGGAAATATCTTCGATTTTCGGGGCTATCAGGGCGTGCAGCTGCATACCCCGCACGCCCTGTGGCTCCGCCTATGTAACTGATAATATAGGACATAGCTGGTACTGCTGCGAATTGGAATTTTTATTCTGGAACCGGAAAAGGGTTTACGATAATATAAATGGATAAATAAGATAGATACACAATGTTGGGTAATAATCCATGACTGCGTTAGGCAGGTGCTGATCCAGAGGGAGGGAGGGTGCTATACGACCCTCCTTGGCATGTTGCTTCGTGGAAAACAAATACTCTACACAACATGTATTTTTCAGTAGGCTGTGGACATTTATAAACAAATTTGGTACCAAATACCAATAAAGAAAAATTGAGTGGCGAGCCTTTGAATATTAAGTACAATCCATTTTGAGGACTAAAAAAAAGTCTTACCATCAGGATGGAGTTACAAAATACAAGACCTTAACCTTAGCAGGTGCTGCTCGTTTAGTCGTTTGCGCACATATTAATATTTTAAAAGTGTTGTAAAAATGATTGTAATTGTTACTAACTTTTTTTTTAATCGTTAAAATTGTGAAATAATAACATTTTTTAAATTAGTATGTGGACCACATAAAGAGTAACCACGTTTATCTAATTAACTAATTTATAATAAACAATTTTATTGAACTTTCGACATAATATACAGGGTACCTATTTTACATTACATGATTATTAAATATTTAAAATATATTCGAATACATATTTTATACATCCTAATTAATATTTAATAATTTAACAAATATTATTATTTTTATATCAAATAGCAATGATATTATCCCTACCTATCTAATCTACTAAAATAAATCTATAAAAAAAATTATTTTATCAAGAAAAATAACAGAAATGTTTGTATAATATTGGATTATTTTGTCCATAAAAATAAAAAATGTCATAAAGATTATTTTTAAATAAACTAAGGAAAGTTAAGTTATTCCAACTGTCAATTAAGCTGGTTAAGTTAATGAGTTGATTATAAAATTAACTAACTAGTTAATGCTAATTAGAATAATTAAGAATTTTGTCTAAATTGTATTTAAAGCGGGGGGGGGGGGGCGGTTACCGTGGCCCTCACAGTAAAAGCATTTATAATCAAGAAAATAGAAATATGGGCAATGTGCTGTACCTAACAGGGCACTTTGCACTCACCAATGTTAGTCACAATTTACTATAGTTTATTATACTCATGAAAGCATGGACTAAGATATTCAGGACTGGACACGACTAGGTAGGAGGGTGTGGAGTGGTTGTCCACGAAATGATATTGAGTGGGCGGTGTACAGGTTTTTTTTTAATTTTATCAACACTAAGCAGCCCACTTATCCAGTAATGTATTATTTTTTTTTTTTTTGCTGTATCTCAAAATCTCGAAAATTTATATATCTCCTGACTTCATCTTAAGTATTCAGACTTCAAAATTAAAATTAAAATGAAATGTAAATATAAAGCAATATAGTAATATAGTAATATCACATCGGGTAATATTTTCATAGTTTCTTGTAACTGTTGTGTGCTATGATAGTGTTGATAAAATCAAAACACCGTACACCGCCCACTCAATATAATTTCATGAACATGATGAAAATAATATGTTCGTGTCCACTGTCCAGTCCTGTACATAGTATAAGAAATTAGAAGTATGATCAAGTTGTTCGCGCATGTTTTTATGTTTTTGTGCATACTGCATTGCATAAGATTAATATTAATGTAAGGTAATCTTGACGTCGCCTAGTATTTATTGTTCGTTGCCTATATAAATTATACATTGCCCCTTAAAAAAATATGCGCAGTCTTATCATTGAGCAAACTTCTTATTACTTATGCTTATACCACGATTTAAGATACCTAATATACATTTTAGATATGTATATCTTTAATCGTGGCTTATTGTTCTGTGCTTATACTATGCTCCTGTATATCTTAGTCCGTGCATGAAGGCTAAAGATATCTCTAGCCTTCATGATTACTAACGTTTAACACTCTAACGTACATAGATATTAGATGGGAATGTTTTACATATTTCAATTTTTGTAGTGCTGTATCATTTATGATCATTTTTTTTTTAAACAAATGTACAATTTTCATTTTAGTGTAATAATCAGGAACTGATATAATATAACAGCACGGACTAATATATAGGTACTTAAGATTTACTTAGGAGATTATTAGAAGATTTACTATATGTCTTTATAGTTAGCTGATATCCCTGAATAATTGATATCTTTGTTTTATACTAATTATATATTATATTCCAAACAGAAATTTAATTAGGTAGGTATCTAGTTTATTAAGCCCAAAATTTCAAAATTTATGGATATAGCAACTAATGGCACCGGACCTTTCAATTTGTATATTTGCTTAAAAAAACCTGGTACATTATATTAAAATGTACCCTAAAAAATAATAATTATTATTATTGCATTGTCATATAACTTAACTGAATTAATGTGAAAAGATTTTGTGAAAGTAGTGTTATAACTAGTAGCACTTTTAAAACATCCATAGGATAAATATGCAAATGCCTAAGGCTATAAAATATAAATTTAAATGTAATTACCAATATAAATATTAACCACTAATCAATAGTATAATCAAATTTAATTAGGATTAATACTATAATACTCTTATATAATTTATTTAATAAGTAAAACTGAACAATATATAGGATTTCTTAATTGCCTGTTGATGCCAAATTGGTAAAATGCAAACAGATGATGAATATCATAACTTATTTCCCTATATCATACATAATGAAGTGCATAAAGAACTGGATGTCTGAATCAAAATAAATTTAAAAAGTAGATAGGTACCTAAACCGTTAACCAACTAGTATCTACCTAATAACAACACTATTTGTGACTTCAGTTAAGATTTAGGTTACGTCATAAAATATAAACTTATAATTATAAAATTTAATTTATTGAATAGTTTTTATTACATATTTTACCAAATTCTGATGGATGTTGTAAAGTCAACATTGCATATAGGACCGCGTTTAGGCTCTAACAGATACACACACTCTTCGCATAATACTTTGTGCCCACATGGTATTAAAGCATGCGTTCTCTCTTCTACCCTGCATACCACACATATTTCGCCATCGTTTTCCAAAGAGGGAAGAACAGCTGGAACTTCAGCAAATGGAATATTTTCCAATTCTAATTGCCGGCTCCTAGCATCGAGTTCCACCATAAATATCATATCTGGATCCCTGTCTTCTGGGGTGATAAAATCGTCCTCGTTGTATACAGGAGTAACTTCCTCATTGTCTAGAAGAAAAAATAAAGATAAGTAATTCTATTGCATTTTATCTTTCTTTTTCAACCATATTTTTTGGGTTTAATATTATATAGGTAACTAAAATCATCAGTAACTACTTTTATTTTATAAACAATATATAACAGTTAGGTATATCATATTAAAAACAGTATGTAGGTTGGTAATTAAATAGGTAGTGTTCGGTGCGTATGCCCGGTCTTGGACTTTGCCCCGCGTTATCGCCATTACTGTGGACACCGCGCGACCGTTCCGATATCTCCGGAGAGAGAAGCGTTATCGGTGTGTCGCCGACGGTCTCTTCCCCGCTGCATGTAGTCCGACACAGTGCCTACAGTCGCAAGGTCGCCGGTCCTCAGCCGTCTTGGCAAATATCGTCGTTTTGTGTGTCCAATATATCGCGACCCTCGTGCTAATACCTCTTATCTCAACGTTTTTTCGAAAATGAGATATTGGTACCACTGTATAGCTGTTATCATGGCGCGTAATTTGTATTCATGACTGAAACATTTTATTGTATTTTTCCCTCCAAAAACTCATTTGTAGTGATAACAAGTATTTAATTCTGTGTAGAATAACACTTATCTCGTGTTTTTTTAAATTGTGTTTGACGTTGGTTGGTGTAAGGTGCTTTTGTTCGTTTCTTCAAATATTATTATTAAGAACTTCGATCAAATAGGTATATATAACTATTTTGTTGCAAGGTAGTATAGTAATTTATTATTGTTAAGTATTAGGTTAATAATTATAGAACAGGAACATAATGTAATATAATATTAATTGATAAAAATGTACAATATTTTACTTGTTTGATTAATACTGTATTATTCCTATTATAATATTATAGCTGTCGTACACCATGCCTAAAAAAAGGTCTAATTGTCAATCGAACCGATGTAAATATATGTTGAATTTGGTAAATCAACAATACAATAATAATATACCTTCGTACCTGATGACTACCTCAGGTATTATTTTTAACTCAACATAATATTTATATTTTTATGGTGTGTGGTGTTATATTTATTTTAAATTATTTTTTAGATCCTATAATTGCAGCTTTTGTTGATGATTTATCTAATCAAACTATTGATATTGATAATATAGAATCTGATATTATGATGACTACCTCAGGTATTATTTTTAACTCAACATAATATTTATATTTTTACGATGTGTGGTGTTATACCTATTTATTTTAAATTATTTTTTAGATCCTATAATTGCAGCTTGTGTTGATGATTTATCTAATCAAACTGTTGATATTGATAATATAGAATCTGATATTATGATGACTATCTCAGGTATTATTTTTAACTAGAATATTTATATTTTTATGATGTGTGGTGTTATATTTATTTTAAATTATTTTTTAGATCCTATAATTGCAGCTTGTGTTGATGATTTATCTAATCAAACTATTGATATTGATAATATAGAATCTGATATTATGATGACTACCTCAGGTATTATTTTTAACTCAACATAATATTTATATTTTTATGATGTGTGGTGTTATATTTATTTTAAATTATTTCTTAGATCCTATAATTGCAGCTGGTGTTGATGATTTATCTAATCAAACTGTTGATATTGATAATATAGAATCTGATATTATGATGACTATCTCAGGTATTATTTTTAACTAGAATATTTATATTTTTATGATGTGTGGTGTTATATTTATTTTAAATTATTTTTTAGATCCTATAATTGCAGCTTGTGTTGATGATTTATCTAATCAAACTATTGATATTGATAATATAGAATCTGATATTATGATGACTACCTCAGGTATTATTTTTAACTCAACATAATATTTATATTTTTATGATGTGTGGTGTTATATTTATTTTAAATTATTTCTTAGATCCTATAATTGCAGCTGGTGTTGATGATTTATCTAATCAAACTGTTGATATTGATAATATAGAATCTGATATTATGATGACTATCTCAGGTATTATTTTTAACTAGAATATTTATATTTTTATGATGTGTGGTGTTATATTTATTTTAAATTATTTTTTAGATCCTATAATTGCAGCTTGTGTTGATGATTTATCTAATCAAACTATTGATATTGATAATATAGAATCTGATATTATGATGACTACCTCAGGTATTATTTTTAACTCAACATAATATTTATATTTTTACGATGTGTGGTGTTATACCTATTTATTTTAAATTATTTCTTAGATCCTATAATTGCAGCTGGTGTTGATGATTTATCTAATCAAACTGTTGATATTGATAATATAGAATCTGATATTATGATGACTACCTCAGGTATTATTTTTAACTCAACATAATATTTATATTTATATGATGTGTGGTGTTATATTTATTTTAAATTATTTTTTAGATCCTATAATTGCAGCTTGTGTTGATGATTTATCTAATCAAACTATTGATATTGATAATATAGAATCTGATATTATGATGACTACCTCAGGTATTATTTTTAACTCAACATAATATTTATATTTTTATGATGTGTGGTGTTATATTTATTTTAAATTATTTCTTAGATCCTATAATTGCAGCTGGTGTTGATGATTTATCTAATCAAACTGTTGATATTGATAATATAGAATCTGATATTATGATGACTATCTCAGGTATTATTTTTAACTAGAATATTTATATTTTTATGATGTGTGGTGTTATATTTATTTTAAATTATTTTTTAGATCCTATAATTGCAGCTTGTGTTGATGATTTATCTAATCAAACTATTGATATTGATAATATAGAATCTGATATTATGATGACTACCTCAGGTATTATTTTTAACTCAACATAATATTTATATTTTTACGATGTGTGGTGTTATACCTATTTATTTTAAATTATTTCTTAGATCCTATAATTGCAGCTGGTGTTGATGATTTATCTAATCAAACTGTTGATATTGATAATATAGAATCTGATATTATGATGACTATCTCAGGTATTATTTTTAACTAGAATATTTATATTTTTATGATGTGTGGTGTTATATTTATTTTAAATTATTTTTTAGATCCTATAATTGCAGCTTGTGTTGATGATTTATCTAATCAAACTATTGATATTGATAATATAGAATCTGATATTATGATGACTACCTCAGGTATTATTTTTAACTCAACATAATATTTATATTTTTATGATGTGTGGTGTTATATTTATTTTAAATTATTTCTTAGATCCTATAATTGCAGCTGGTGTTGATGATTTATCTAATCAAACTGTTGATATTGATAATATAGAATCTGATATTAAAATCAGAGAAAATCAGAGAAATCAGAGGAAATCAAAAGGAGACCCAGAAGTAAAGGATATTAGGGCATTAAAATATGATCCGATTTCTCAAAAAATTTATTTCAAGTTAAAATTTGATGATGAGTATCAGGAAATTCCTCAATATAATCGTTCCAGAAAAATAATTGATTTCAACAAAGAAGCACCAAACCTATACCAAAGTAGAAATGTACTAACACTTTCAAAGTGGAATGATTTGCAGAAACTAAAAGGTGTTTTGCCAAGAGATGTGCATGATTTCTATGATAATTTACCACACGAGCAACAGTTAAAGGCTCGCAAAACTACAAAAGTTTAAACATTTTCAAACTTTTTTTTTTAATATTTCCTTTAATTAAAATGACAATTAATGTTCCTAACATAAATAAGTTATAAATTTATTGTTTTTAAGTTTTAAATATTGTTTATTTTTATTTTTAACAAGTTGGTTTCTATTATTTTGTTTTTATTTTTCATAAGTTGATTTCTATTAATTTCTATTTTAATAATATACAAGTTGATATTTTATTTTTTGTTCAATTTATATTTATCTGTTTTTACTATGATAAATAATAATAAAGGTTATGTTTTTTAAAATTGAATATCATAACGTGTAAATTATTTATTTATAAGAAAATATTAATAATTAATTAATCTTTTTTTATTATTAATGGTAAATAATAACACTTATCTAATATAATTTAATGATAACAACACGAATCTCCTAATGACAATAACACGCATCTCCCATAAATTTTCGAAAAAACACTTAACTCATACAAATAAAAAAAAATTGTCTAAATTGTTGAAATTAATACAATTTACTAGTTAATCATAGTTATTAAATAAAGTTAAAGTCTAAAAATTAAATTTTTCTGATTGAAAAGTGATTTATTTAGTTTATTGTCTCTCCTGAACAATTTCAAAAAAGTGAGATAAGAGGTATTAGCACGAGGGTCGCGATATGTGCGAACCGGTGCGCCGTCGCCGTCCATATCCGTTTGTGATTCCGTGCCCGTCCGAGCCGTTTTGCTCACCATAGTGCTCGCGTTCAGTCAATTGTGTACGACAGCGTTAGCACCTCGCTAAAACATTCGTTAAGTGTTTTTAGCCACCCGTAGCCCCTCGCGCCACGCTGTTGGTCGTTCCGACTAGTGATTGTGCTAGCACCTCGTACTGTCGCGCGTCACGCCCTCGCCGTGACCGTGTATCATTTTGGGTTTAAGATCACGTTCATAGTTCATACTCATCTCGTTCCCGCTTCAGTGTTTTTGGTAAACTCTCCCGAATGTATGGTAAACTCTCCCGATTTTTAAAACCAGTAAACTCTCCCGGGTCATTATTATATTTACCTGAAGGAAATGTTTAAATTCTCCCGAGTTGTTTTAAATGTGATTGCTACAGTATGAATTGGCTACACTGCAGCGATTGTGATATCATTTTAAATATTTATTATCAATTGTACTACTGTTAACCTATGCATTGGCTACACTGCAGCGATTGTGATATCATTTTAAATATTTATTATCAATTGTACTACTGTTAACCTGTATTTGTAATTTAAATATTTAATTACCGTTAACCTATTTTTGATTTGAATATTTAATTACCGTTTACCGATTTTTGATTTAAATATT